ACACACACCCACACACACACACACACACACACACACACAGACTCTCCATCTCATCGTCCACTGCTCAACAGTTCTGTCAAACACAGCAGCCACATCACAAAAAACACACGCACATCAAGGGTAGTTGACACGTCAAATGGTGTGACTTGCTTCAAGCACAACTATTTAAACATTTCCTAAATCTTTCAATTTTTTATTCATTCAAAGAATTATGCATGCAATTTTTAAGCTAAAAACGTCAATCAACAATTACCCTCGCACACCTGTAGGCGATTGATCGGTGCGTAGGATAAACGATCAAAAACAGGTCAAACAAAGCAAAAAAAAGAAGAAATTCTGCACACAATCCGTAATGTATTGCAAATGTATCAAAAATAGATTTATTCACAACGTCTCAGTTCTATGACCTTCATCAGGCATATGCAGACAGTTCCCTTCAAGGTAAAAATGTCAAAAACACACAACAAAATTCTTAATATTTTAACAAATTAAAATGAAAACAGAAAATACAAAAAAATAAAAACTATATCTCAATGGTACTAAAATAAACTGATTGCATGCAATTTTTAAGGTCTCATTAATTGAGAGCAGGGTTATTATAGTTAAAAAAGAAACCCATAAAAGAAATAAATACATTTTTTGTTACTTGAAATTTCATTTTATTTTAGCTAGTTGCCAAAACAACATCTTGTGGTACTAAAATAAAAACAGATTCAGATACTACTTAGAATATATTTTTAATAATTTATGGTTTATTTAAATAGTCTTGCAGTGCAACAAGTGAATTATTAAAAAGTACAAACTACAAATTATGCACTGAAAGACTATTTAAATGAACCATAAATGATTGATAATGATGATTTGGGTTGCAGTGTCATCTGCTGGTGTTGGTCCATTGTGGTTTTTGAAGACCAACGTCACTGCACCAGTTTACCAAGAAATTCTGGAGCACTTCATGCTTCCTTCTGCTGACCAGCTTTTTGAAGATGCTGATTTCATTTTCCAGCAGGATTTGGCACCTGCCCACACTGCCAAAAGCACCAAAAGTCGGTTAAATGACCATGGTGTTGGTGTGCTTGACTGGCCAGCAAACTCACCAGACCTGAACCCCATAGAGAATCTATGGGGTATTGTCAAGAGGAAAATGAGAAACAAGAGACCAAAAAATGCAGATGAGCTGAAGGCCACTGTCAAAGAAACCTGGGCTTCCATACCACCTCAGCAGTCCCACAAACTGATCACCTCCATGCCACGCCGAATTGAGGCAGTAATTAAAGCAAAAGGAGCCCCTACCAAGTATTGAGTACATGTACAGTAAATGAACATACTTTCCAGAAGGCCAACAATTCACTAAAAATGTTTTTTTATTGGTCTTATGAAGTATTCTAATTTGTTGAGATAGTGAATTGGTGGGTTTTTGTTAAATGTGAGCCAAAATCATCACAATTAAAAGAACCAAAGACTTAAACTACTTCAGTCTGTGTGCATTGAATTTATTTAATACACGAGTTTCACAATTTGAGTTGAATTACTGAAATAAATGAACTTTTCCACGACATTCTAATTTATTGAGATGCACCTGTATTAAATAAATTCCAAAACAAATTCCAAATAGTAAAAATCATAATGTTGGAAAAATCTATTTTACTGGTCAACAACTGTTGGGGAACTAACTAACTAACACACACACACACACACACACATACACAGCTGACCTCAAAGGTCCCAAAAAATCAGATCAAATATTAATAATTTACATCATCATATTTTTGACACAACCAAAGTCTAATCTGTGGTTAAACTTGTGAACATTTACATTTATGCATTTGCCAGATGCTTTTATCAAAAGCACCCAAACTTTTCATCAGTTCATGCATTCCCTGGGAATCGAACCCATGACCTTGTGTCGCTAGCATCATACTCTACTGTTTACTACTGCTACAGGAATACAGGAACTGGTTAAGTATCCTCCCATCACACTAACTCAGTGCAGAGAAGAGATCAGGCATGTGACATGAGCAGAGACGATCAGAGAGCTGCAGACCTGTCATAACACGCTTCAGCTGATCACCACATCAACCAAAACCGAGGAACATTCATGCCCGTTCACATCCACAGTGACCACAGAAAGCATTTGCAGCACTTCAAAAAGTCTGAATGTCATTCATGAAATCACAAAATATCAAGGCAAGAGTTCTGAGCTGAACTCATGGCACTTGTCTGAAGCGTTTTGCAATGAATTTTAAGCCACTGCTGTCGAAGTATTTTAGCTAGAAAATGTCTGAATGTCACTGCATTAGATCATAAAATACAAGTGACATTTATTGTAAACAGACAGCACAAGCACTTTTTACAAGCAAAACACTCAGCAAACAGTTTTGCAGGGTTTGAAATGATAAAACAATAGATCTGGTGTTGAAAATGAATGCAAAAAGCCACTTGGTGCTTGGTTAAACAGCTAACATAGAAATTCTCAGAACTTCCTTAACGTTTTGGCAAGGTTCTCTCAAAGTTATGAACAAATGTTAGTGGAATGTTACTACTTGTTTCAGAACGTTCAGAGAACATTCAAAACCAACGTTCCCATAACGTCTGCACAGTAATAAAATGGAATGTTCGCACAATCAAAAAAATGTTTTAAAACATGCATCATTAAAAAATGTTTAAAAATATATATCGATCATGGAATGTTTTTTTCTGAAATGTTTTAGTTGAACATTCTTTAAACGTTGTTACTTGTTACTTCTGAATGTCCTCTGAACATTCTAAAACGTTCCCATGTTTGCAAAATTATCAAATATAAATGTTCACAACGCACGCACAACCGTGAATTTTTTTTTTAAACATTAATCGTTAAAAATGTTTAAAACAAAACTTAGTTCACAGAATGTTTTTCTTAAACATTTTAGTTGAATGTTCGTCTAACATTCTTTAAATGACGCCACTTGTTTCAGAACGTTCAGAGAACATTCAAATGTAACGTTCCCATGATGTTTGCAAAACCTGACCTTTCCATAACTAAGAAAAAACATTTTAAAAAGACCTCTTCAGAGAATTGTCAGAAATAACGTGTTCATAACTTAAAGGGAACGTTAGTAAAACGTTCTTAGAACATACATGGTTAGCGGGATACTAGAACATATCGATAGTTAATGTGATGAACCACTACACCTGCTCACTAGGACACCTGTGAACTTGAGACTTCATACGTGCACTAAAAAGTTGATTAATAAGACAGTGAGACTTTAAAAAGGATGAAAATGAAAGCTTTTGAGCTCAGATGACACTCGCGTTGACATTTCTAATGGTCCTAATACTTTTGGGGTCACTGAATCTTCCAAACTCACCATTGCTGCGGGTGTTTGAAGCCCTCAGCGCTTTGGAGGACATCACCTGGGCCTGTGTGGCGTAATTCTCACCGCTCAGCACCGCCATGAAGGAGCACACGAGCAGCCACATGATTTGGAACCGAACCGTCCGCTGATGCGTGATCCAGAAGCGCCACATGGACCCCGAGTTTCCACCGCAGCGCAGCGCGTCCGCAGATCCGGAGAACAGGTTCATATAAACCAAGCCGCGGAATCCAAAACCTCCGACTTTATCTGCTTGTGTCCCGTTTGACCCCGCGTTTATAATTCCAACAGAATATTTTCCATTCCTTGAACATTTACGGAAACCCGAGGACGCGAGAAAAGTGTCTTGGCAACAATAACGCATGCGGTGCCGAGGGATTCCCAGAATTCACACATCAAACTCCTGCTGAAAGATCGGGTTGGTGCGCTGCTGAGAGATGGAAGGAGAAAGAAAGGAAGCCCAGGAGGGCTGGACCCCCTTCATCCAGTCAGGACGAGGAAATAACGCCCGTGGGGCGCGTTTTACTGAGTGTTTGCTGGAATACTTTCCCTCGGTGCGTAACGCTGCCACTCTTTTCCTGTTTGTTTCGCCGCACGGAAAGTTTTGAGTTTCCCTGAGGAGAACCCACAAACAAGGCGGTACGCACGGGATTCAAACATTCAGCAAACTGCAGGCCATGACTTGAATTCAGTGTTCAAACTCTTTCCCAGTGAATTATACGAGTGTTTATAAAGTCTAATGGGAAGAAATATAGATTAATAAATGCTTACTTCAGGGCTTCCTCATGAACAATCGCACCTTATCAGATGAGGTCATGTCCGCTCTGGGATCTGAATTATTGGCTGTGTTTGCTATGGAATAACTTACTAGTAGTACGTTCTACACTGTATACTGCATACTACTTAAATAGTATGTGAAATACGCACTATACAACGATAAACGATTCAAACAGCAGTATACTGTTGCTTCTATATGCTTTTGTTACGTGATCTCATCAACCAATTGGTCTGCAATGTTCTGTTACAGTTTGAATGTAATATTTATTTCAAAATATTTATAAAAAAAAAAGAAAGAAATTATCATCTCAAAATTCACATATGTTGGTCTGCAGTTTTCTGTTATAGTTTGAAAGCAATATTTTTTTAATTAAAAAAAAAAGAAAAATTATCACAATCATTACATGATTAGATTATTTGGCATTTTTAATTCTATGTAAAATTTCTTGATTTTAAAATTACAGTACTGCTCATTTGTCACTGGAAATGGAAGGTCAAGTTGAGCGCAATGCATTGTGGGATAGTATGTTTTGTATTGCACATTTTGTCAGATGTCTTTTAGGTTCTCAATGAATACAGAAATATTTGCACTTTCTGAACTTGTAAGCATTTATAGTCATTTCCAAAGAGGACATATTATACGTAAACTCAAAGTAACAAACAATTCAAATGTGAATAACTTACAAAATCCTAGAATTTGGATGCATAAAATGCATTGCTTTGGTCATGTAAACATTCCCTTAAAGCATAAATCTCATGCAATTCAAACTTTGAATTGAATTAAGCATTAAAGGGGTCATATGATGTTGCTAATTCTGGAACAGTGTTGTAAATGCAACTTAACCACTGATTTCTAGTCGTGTCCAATTTTGGAAGACCAAACAAAGTAGTTTCGCTTTCACAATGAAACAAAGCGTCACACACGGCCTAGAGTGAGCAGAGGCTGGGGGCTAGAGTGAGCGGAGGCCGGTGGGCTTGAGAACGGCACGGCC